AACTGATCTGAATACAACAGTTTTGGTATCCATTGAGCATAAATTTTGCTCAAATGTTATTTTTCAATCAGAATTTTGTAAGCTAAACCAATTGAGGAATCATTATGTTGGCTATTATTTCTGCTGTTAAACTTTGGTCTTCTTTGATGAGGGCATGAATGAGGTTAATATTTTCCTTGCCAATTGATGTGGATGGTCTGCTGCTGTGGGCTTCATCTTCAACATACTCTCATTTCTTTTTTAAATGAGTTATCCATTTGGAAACTACTGATTTCTTTGTGGAATTTTCCCCATAAACTTTTCATAGAGCATCAATGATTTCACCGTTCTTCCACCCAAGCTTCACCATGAATTTCATGTTTGCTTTTGCTTTAATTTTAGCAGAATTCATGTTGTTCAGAGAGGGGCTTTTTACATACCAATGTCTTATCCTTCTTAGTGTCTTAACTAGAACCCATGGAGACATGTTATAACAAGTTAGGATGAGTTTATTTTGGTGCGAAAAAATTTTGCAATCCATGCAGAGTTTGTTTTTTCTTTAACAATACACATTTTCTATGAACTTTTAAAAACCCATGTACTTGGAGTCTGAGAAGGATTAGAACAAGCTATCCTGACATTTTTATTGGAGAAAAAATAATAATCTTTGCTGAATTTGACAATAAAAAATCTAGAGGGGAAACCACAAGGAATTTTGAGAACTGCTTCCTCTGCTCGGATGTATTTACTTATTGGACACACACACAGACACACACACAGACACACACACACACAGCAATCTAGTATTACCAGCCTCAACTGATAATCAAAAGTAAAATTCACGGGACTCTCATGAGCATTGGCAACCCCAACAAACCTCAGTCAGTACAATACAAACTACTGACCTTTAAAAGGTTCAAATAAATAAGCAAATGAGTTTTCAGCTTTGTTCAAACCATATCTCAAATTTAGTTGTTGTTGCTGCTGTGTTTATATTTCCTGTCCACCAGGCAATCAGAAAAATGTTTTTATACATCTTCTCTGTGTTTATCATACAGTAAACTCAAAAGTCAAACCAAGGAACATATTTTAATTAATTCAAAATTTAAATGTTTGTCCTGAAATTTGTATAGCTTTGTCTCATTGTGTTTTATGTATTTATGTTGTGTGAAAGCAAAAACCATTGAGCATAGATTAAAACTGTCTGAATATTACTATGTAAAGGCATTGGAAAATGTCACAACTTAATTAAAATATAAAATAACAATTAAACTGTGCTGTGTTTTTTATGTGTTGATTCTTATGTGGTGTAAATAAATCAATATTTGAAAATCATTACATTTCAAATTTATAGTTGATTTTTAATTATCAGATAAGCATTGATTTAATTAAATTGCATATGTTGACATCCTTAAATAAATTTTAAATATTAGAAAAATGAAATTAAAAAAACACAAATATCTATATTTATTGGCATCTTTTAAAAAATTGAAGCTTAACTCAGTCATCATGTAAATAGACTTACTCTCACAATTTGTACAATTAGAAAACAGGAAATAATATTAAACAAGTGCTCTCAGATATTGGACCACAATCACTGCACAGCTTTCAACATTGAGAAAACGGAGACAAATGTGAATATAATAATAGCTCTGGTTTTCTGCATGAGGAAACTTTCAAGACCATGATCAGGGATGGGGTGTCTGCTGATCTTGCTGAATTCAGAAGACAGATCATAGTTCCAGGGAGCTTTAGCAGCTAGAATTAGTGGATAGAAAACTATAAAGAAGGTAGCTTTGTGGAGACAGATTTACAGAAATCTGCAAGGGACTCCCCTTAAATTTGTTGTTAAATACTAAGCTGCATCTTCATGAGCTAAAATTTAAAAACACTACAGTAAAAAACATGACCAGGAGGTTGTAAACTGAATACTCACCATGACTCACACAGGGCTGAAGGACATTCAAGTTTTACTGTGGATTGAATGTCCCCCCAAACTCATTTAAGTATAATCCCCATTGTGACTGTTGAGGTGGGAAATCCTATTATAGTAATTGAAAGATGGGGCCTTGAAGAGGTGATTAGATTGTGAAGATCAGGCCCTGGTAAATGGATTAATTTATTGATAGTTTAGTGGTGGTCATGGATGTGGTTCTGAGGGCTTTTAAAGGAGAGATAGTGAGGACGTTAGTCTCTCTCTTCCTTCTGCTTCTCCCAGTGTGATACCCTGTGTTGCTGAAGTCACCAGCAAAGAAGGTCCTCACTGTAAGATTTCCCTGGACTTTGTGCTTCCCAGTCTTCTGAAACTGTAAGAAATGAATTTCATTTCTTTATAAATTATCCAGTTTAAGGTATTTTGTTATAAGCAACAGAAATGGACTGATACAGTAAATTGATACCAGAGAAGTGGGGTATTGCTTATAACAAATACTTGAAAATGTGGAAGCAGCTTTGGAACCGGACGTTAAGGAGAGGCTGGAGGAATTCGGAAGAGCTGGCTACGAAAAGCCTAGCTTCTGGTGGGAGTTTAGAAGACAAGAAAGCCAGGGAAGGTTTGAAACATCTTGGAGACTATTTAAATGGCAGTGACCAGAATGTTGATAGAAATATGGACTGTAAAGACCATTCAAAGGAGGTCTCAGATAGACATATGAAGGAATTTATTGGCAACTGGGACAAAGATCACTCTTGCTATGAACTTGCAAGAAATTTGGCTGCATTCTGTTCATGCCCGAAAGTTTTATGGAATGTGAAACTTAAAGGTGCTGAACCAGGGTATTTGGCAGAAGAAGTTTCTGAACAGCAAAGCATTCAGGAAGCTGTATGGCTACTTGCAACACCCTATGCCCAGTTATGGCAGAAATAGCATGATATAAAGTCAGAATTTACAAGTCAAAAGAAAGCAGAGAGCAAAAAATTGAAGAATTGTCAGACTGGTCACAGAAAGAGTGAGAAAATCATTCAACAGAGCAAACCGACAGTTTGGGGGAAGATGACCCCCACCTTTATAGAATCTTAGATTATTCTGGTATCAAGTTGGGTACAGTGATATTACATATTCCATCTCCTAAATCTTGAATTTATGAATTACCAGTTTTCTGGGTAGCACCGCTTCTTCACCCTGGTCTCCCATGTAGCTATTACTCTTATGTTTAGCAGAGTGGGATGCTGGATTCTCAGATCCTTCTGCCCCTTCCTGAGCAGGCTGTGAGTCAGGTAATTGAAAGAAGATATCTGGCAGCTTTATGCAAGGTTGACACACTTTATTCTTCAGATGTGAGCCTCATAGACATGCTTTACTATCAGACACAAGCTCAAGCTCTACTCCACTGGATCCTCCGTGCTCTGCCGTTCCTCCGTGCTCTGCTGACCAGCAGTTCAGAGCAGTTACCTCTATACTCTTAGTACACAACAGTGGCCACACGCCAAGCATGACATAATTAGAACAATCATGCTGAATCGGTAAATGGGCACGCATGTGCAATTACACTACTCTTATTATAACTTGTTTCTAGTGAATGTGCTGAATCTTGCCCATTTGTAACAGATGTGAGGCAAGTGATCCTGACTAAACGTTTTCTACTTTCCTTACACAGAATTACACTGGTTTGAAAGTCAGAAACTGTGAAAACCATTGTGTTTCTCTTTCCAAACATTTAAAAGTAACTGTTAATAAGCTCAAATTAAGACTTACCCTAATTAAGGTAGCTTTTCTTACTAATTTATTTCTACTTTTTTTTGTTTTACTTTTAATTGTTTAATCTTTGTATATCACCTACCAGAATTGCACATTATTCTAAGTGGTTTACAAATATTAACACCTTTAATCTTCATAAAAGCCTAAAAGGTAGGTACTGTTGTAATTTTCATAGATGAAGAAACTGAGGCACCACAATGTTAAGTTGACCGTATTCACATAGCTAGTAAGATGTGGGGCATCTGAGCATTTGTCTAAAGAATAATTATTTTTATGTAAATGTAGAAATAGGAGGCAAAGTCTCATGGACATTTTTCTACTGTTTACATTCTAATCACATACAGACAGGACCTAGAAAAATTAGATGAAGAATGAGTTTTAGATGACATGATGTGAAATGCATGCAGGAAGTCTCTAAAAATCTGAATTATATCTTGATCTACTAACACAGACTATTTGTATAAACTTTTTACAACTAAAAATACACTACCCTTAGGTTGCTTCTATAAATATTAACATTGAAAGTTTTATGTATGTAATAATTTTCCCCAAAGAAAGGCATTCTCTGGCCATACTAAATAAATTCAAAGCAACAAATCAGAATATATGAGTGCAGGGTGGTTTAAAAAAACCAAGTGAGAGAAAAGAATCAGGTGATGGAGAAACCTATAGGATTTAATAGGAGCTTTAGCTTTTATATCGAATTTATAGAGGAAGCCATTGGAGGATTTTGCAGTTACTTTACTATCTGAATCTATTCCCTGTTTCATTTATTCATATATTTGAAATCCCAGGGTTTGGCCCAACTCCAGGTATACCTTGACTCAGTGACTCAAAGGATATCATTAGGGTCTGATCTTTCACTTGGCACCTCTCAGTTCTACTTTCCTTTGTAAGCATTAGTCTGTCACAGGATTCATATAGTAGCATGATGGCCAATCATAGCAGCAGATTTATATGATCACAGCTCCAAGTCCAACAGGAAAGAGGAAAGAGGGAAACACTCTTTCCTGGCTGGTGAAGCAAAAAAAAAAAAAAAAAAAAAAAAAAAAATGGCAGGATTAACTTGGATTGGAAATGTGTCATTTATATAATTGCTTTTTCTTGGGTAACAAGGCTACTATAGCATGTCACTCTAGGGGGTTAATATAATTCTGGCCATTGCTCAGATCTAGGACAGAGGTCAACTGCTGAAGCCAGGGGTAGAAACAAATCTACCTTTGTACAAAATTGGAGCAAGGAAAAATGATGGTTCCTTTATATGTATATATAAGTCAGGGTTGGATTCTGGCAATTTTTCTCATGTGGGGTGCTTGCATTAAAGTTAGCAGAGATTTTCTGGAACATTTTCGTGTTGATCTGAGGGTGGCATCAAAACTCCTTTAACCGGTACAGGAGATGCTGTTTCTGCCATGTGAGGATAAGACGGTAGAATTAACATAACCTGTGAAATCAATCAGAATGCCATACATGAGTCACCCAAATAACCTCAGGGTTTCCTTTTCCTGCCCACGTGATGTCATCATTATTAGAGTTTATTCTTTCTTCTGTGAATTCAATCTCAAGATCAGTCTGGTGAGACTTCTCAGGTTTTCTTTAGATCAAACTAGATCTGGGACACACATTCAGTGATAGCTCCTGGCCTGAGATGCTGATGGCTGTGACTAGGTCTTACAATTGGATCAATCTTATGTGTGGATGACGACGCTCAACAAGTTGGGTAAACCCAGGTGTCATGGAAAACACAGAGCTCTTCTTCCAAACTAGGTTGCTCCTCCTAATGACAACAGCATACATGATTTGCAGGCCATGAATAAAGAATTGCAAAAACCACACTGGCCCATAATGGCAGGAATCATCACGAAACTAAGAAAATTGTGGTGATTCTTCCACAAACTCAGTATGACATGAAGTTGAGGGAGCAGGAGGGAATGGGGAAACCAGGAAGAGATAGAGACTTAGACAATATGTACTCCAAAGCCACAGCTCTTCTGGAGTCACACCAGGAAATTAGTGGGAGGAACATTTCCCAGCTCTATATGACTCTAGGAGCAGAAGAGAACACAGGCCTAAATATTACCATTTGTTTCAGGGTTTTTCAGGGTTATAAATATTCATGAGATACAAAGCTGATTGTCACCCCTCGTGCCAAAGACGTCAAGGCCAGATCTATACTGGCAGCATGCCCATTGCCGCAAATTGTCATTTGAAAGTTATTAAGGAGTTTGCCCCCATGCCCAAATGCTTCACTCAATGAAAATAAAATGCTTGGCTCAAGGAAATTACAAAATTATTGGTAATTTCTGAGAAACTCTCACTGCTGGCACCTTGTAATGCAAAAATTCACTAGTAGACTTAACTTGAGTTAGTTTCTCTTCTGTGGGGAAGAGCTTGGGTCTGTGGGTAATGATGTTGCCTGAGATCCCTAAAAGAAGACACAGAGGTACAAACAACAACAACAACAACACCAAGAGCACCAGAAACTCAATCTCAAGAAACTATTATTTTATGTTTGGGTTGTGGGTTTTGTCTGTGCCTGGGCCTTTGGATGATGAAGATAATGAGAGGCTATCGGGGTTCTACTAGCCCTTTCCTCTGGAACCCTCAATCCGCGGAGGACACCTCTGCCCTGTTCTTTCTAGAGCCTCCTTCTTGGTCCCTTCTCTCCTATTTCCTACTTCCGTCTCCTCACTTCCATCCTTTCTGCTTAGCAGCCAGGAGGACCTGCTGCAGGCCTCAGAGTGAGAGGACAGGCAGGTGTGCACAAGATGACAGAGAAGTTTGCAACCTTGAAATGTTTTCATTAGACCAAGGAAAGTTTCTATGACAGGATAACGCATAAAATTTGGCATGTTTGGGGACCTCTCCATTGTAAAGTTTCTCTGATCTGGACTAGGAGGAGATACCCTTGCTGGAAGTAAAGGGGGGAAAACAGGTTATCTTTGGCCTTTGTGGTAGGCAGGACTCTAAGAGGACACTCAGTGATCCATGCTCTTGTGATCCTTCCCCTTTAGTGTAGGTGGGACCTGTATGTATGGTGGGACCTGTATGTATGGTGGGATATCAGTCTTGTGAATAAGTACTGACCAGTTGACTTTGAGTTTATCAAAAAGGTTATTAATCTGGATGGGCCTTACCTGTTCATGTGAACCTTTTAGAAGAGCCTGAAAGTACCAGAGACTTTCACTGTCCTGCTGTCCTCAAAGAAGTACATTGTCATGATCACTAGAACTGAATTCTGCCAAATGATCATGTAAAGGGACCAGAAGCTTCAGATGAGAACACAGTCCCAGCCAATGCCCTGATTATAGCCTTGTAAGACCCTGAACAGAAGACCCAGTTATGATGTACCCAGACTCTCAATCCATGGAAACTGAGAGATAATAAGCATGTATTGTTTAAGCCCCTATGTGGAGTTGATTACACAGCAATATAAACCTAACACAGACATCTTAAAGGAAAGCCTAATACTCACCCCACCAGGGTTACAACAGGTTGCTTTGCAACCAAAGGCAGAGAGAGACACAGCAATGCAGAACTCCAACACACTTAAAATGAGCACCATACCATTCAGACCCTAGGAAAAAATTCGTAACAAAATGACGTGAGGAATAGAGATGACAGGTTCCTGACATTTCCCACTGATTACCATGCCAAAAGAAATAAAGCAGTCAGACAAAATTGGGTGCTAATTAGGCAATTCTTGGCCTGCTGAATGCTGCTCAATGTCACTTTTCCTCTTATTTTTTCAGTGAATAATCACAGCCTTTTTTTTTTTTTTTCCTTTACCTGCTTTGTGCCTGTACTGTTGTGGGAAAAGAAAGTGAAAGTGATTTTAAAAAGGGGAAGTGATTGTAAAGATAATTGTCATCTTAGATCTTTCTAACACTGGAAATTCTTTATAGTCGACATAATGTGATCTCATATCTTAATGTTTGCAAGCAGAATAACCATTCCTCAAAGTCCACATCATAATCCCCAGAACCTGTGAATATGTCAGGATATATGGCAAAGGAGAATTAAGCTTACAGACAAAATTGAGGTTGCTTATTAGCTGAAATGGGGAGAATTATCCTGGCTTATTCTGGTGGGCTGAAAGTAATTGCAGTATTCTCATAAGTGAAATCAGGAGACAGAAAAGGTACAAAAAAGTTGTAAAATACCAAATGAAGATTGAGAATTTGCCCAGAGCTAGATGTTGAGGCTAAAAGTGGTTAGCTTTGCAAGGACATAGAGATGTTGGGTAGAATACCGGATTATTCACCACTTTAATATTGCTCAAGAAAATTTTAATTTCTGATTATAGAACTGTGTAACTCCATCAAGCTCCATAGGAAGCCCTGCAGACCTATAGAGACTGATATCTGGGCTCCATTTTTAGAAAGAATAACATTGCATACTGATCAGTGTTTTGAAATTAAACAGGAAAAAATTATGCAAAATGCCCAGCACAGTACTAGGGAGGAGGTGTTCTGTAACTACAAGCTTTCTTCTCATTTTGTCTCATCACACATAGAGGACGAAAAAAGAGAAAGATGAGATGTGGACACAACTCCTAAAAAAACCCTATTGTTCTATTTCTCAATCAATTCCAACCTCCCAAAGTAATGCAGCAGTTAGAGTGTTGCTTGTTGCTTTCGCCAGAGCCAATGCTCCCCGTCTTGCTTCCACCACAGTAGCCCATAAAAAGAAGCAGCACTCACCATTAAAATCGACATAATCATGGGACAATCATCCACTGCCTCATGAGAGAGACAGTCAGGGATTCCAGATGAAATAATGCTCAAGCTTATTGCACTGAATAAAATCCCTGATGCAGCCATCAAAGAGCTGACGATGTTCAGTCCTAGGCTACCTTGGACCTGGACAGAAATGAAATCCGATTGACAATCCAACAACATCCTCACGTGTGTCTCTATCAATTACCTTAAGCCCTCCACTTCTTTCCCAACATGTTCCATCTTCTCTATGTTGATTATTTCAATATTCTCCTAACTTCTTTTTTTTTTTTTTTTGATAGTAGTTTTGACTCTATTCTCTTTCCAAAACACAAATATGAACCTGTTATTTCAAGGCTTAAGTCTTTATGTGAATTTTGTGGGTAGAGACAAACTCCAAATCTCCTAAACAGAGTTTTCAGTGTCCTTTACACTTTACCAGACAGCCCCATCTGTGTCCATTTCCTACCATGTCCTGCCTCAAGTGCCTGGTCTCCCATTATTTTAAAAATGTTCCTTGTCTCTAATGTCTCTGTGCCTTTTGCGTATTTTCTATCTCTGCTGAGTATTCCTTTCTGCACATTCTTTTCTCATGGTGAAGTTATAAAGATGTTTTATAAAAACTGAAATTACTCAGGAAAGTGTGAGAGGTTTAGTGTGGCTATAGTACAAGGTACATTTTAATGGTTGTAGCTGGAGATGTTAAGGAGGCAGGTTGAGGACAAATTTGGAAAAGCCATATTGATTGTGCTCCAGAGTTTGATACTCATCTTTCATCTTTTGAGCAAAGAAAACTCAAATCCAGTCTTTAGACAAGAAAAACATTTGTTGAGAACTGGACTTCTGCTTTTTATGGGCTTTGTAAAAGACAAGTTGGTGTAAAAGTTATCTTTTAAATTTGCTGCTTCTTATTAATAGCCTTATTGTGAATTTCTTTTATTGCAAACTCAAAACCCTTTTTGGACACAGCTGAAATACACATTTTAATCAATCAGTCAATAAATATTGTTCTACCCAATATATGGTATCATTCTTATAAACTGGATCTCAAGCTGCGGGGTTTGTTTGACTGGTCCAATTTGACATTTCTTCTCAGGAATTCTCTGTGTCTTCATAATTCTCTGTGTCTTTCTCTCAGCAACTACCTTGCCAAAATATCAGTCCCATGTCAGTAATTCTATCATCAGCCAATTGTCTGATTACAGTCTTTGGAAGACAGGTCCAACTAGGTAAAATTTTCAATCTCTCCTGAATTTTTAAAAACAAACAAAATCTGGTTTGCTAATATTACCTTGAAATTCTGAGGTTGCCTTTCCATTCTGTTCATTGTTTTCTTTACTCTGCAGAAATTTTTTAGTTTGACATAGTCCCACTTGCTTATTTTTGCTTTTGATGCCTGTGCTTTCGACGTTATAACCAATAAATCATTGTCAAAATCAATGTCTAGGATCATTTTCCCTATGTTTTCTTCAAGGAGTTTTATGGTTTCTGGTTTTAATAATTCTATATAAGAATTAGAGTAATTTCTGCAATTTTGTTCTTTAAGACTATCATGACTGTAAGTGAACTTTGAATTTTCATATAAAATATTATCAAATAATTAGTTGCCAAAAATATTACCTAAGATTAATTGCAGTTGCTTTGAATATATAAATTAATTTGAAGAGAAAGACATCTTTTTAATATTGAGTTTTCCTTTCCATTTACATAGTTTATTCCTCCTCTTATTTTGCAAAGTTTCTGCGTAGACATTTTGAACATTTTTTATTACATGTGTTTAATACTAATTGCTTGGTTATGTTGCTGTTATTATAAATTATCTCTTCAAAAATTCTAGTTGCTTATAGATGATAAATATAAATACAATTGATTTTTGTGTGTTTAATACTAATTGCTTGGTTATGTTGCTGTTATTATAAATTATCTCTTCAAAAATTCCAGTTGCTTATAGATGATAAATATAAATACAATTGATTTTTGCAAATTGACCTTGTATCTAAGAAATAGCTATAGTCAATTTTAAATTCTCATTGTTTTTCTGTAGATTCTTTCAGATGATCTATGAACACAATTGAGTCATCTATAAATAAACAGTTTCATAATGTTTTCTATTCCTCTTCTCTTTTTTTCTATTTCTTATCTGTTTGCCTTATTTCGATCCCTAGCACATTATCAATATAAATGGTATCCTCAAACCATATATCTGATAAGGAGTTAGTATGCAAAATATGTAAGGAAGTCATATAAGACATCATGTAAAAATGGACAAAAGACCTGAATAGACTTTATTCCGAAGAAGACATATAAGTTGCCAGCAGGTTTATAAAAAGGTGCTCGACATCACTAATCATCCATGAAATCCAAGTCAAAACCACAATTTGTTATCACCTCCGACATTTTGAGACAACTATTATCAAAGAGATAGAAGACAGCAGGTTTTGGTGAGAATGTGGAGAAAATACATCCTTGTGCACTGCTGATGGAAATGTAATGGTATAGCCATTATGGAAAATAGTAAGAAAGTTTCTCAAAAAATTAAAAATAGAACTGTTATATGACCCAACAATCTTTATTATGGGTATATACCCAAAGGAAATAAAATCAGCACCTTATAGAGATGTCTGTGCTCCCATGTTCATTGCAGCATTATTCATAATAGTCAAGATACAGAAACAACCTAAGTACCCATCAATGGATGAATAGATAAAGGATTGTGATGTTTAATATATACACATATGTATATATGTTGTGTATTAGTATGTAATATAGTAATAATATATAAGTATTAGTACATTCATATATATATATATATATATATATGTATGTATGTATGTATGTTCATAATAATGAAATATTATTCAGGCTTAAAAGAAGAACACCCTGCCATTTGTGACAACATAAAAGAACCCGGAGTCTATTATCTAAGTGAAATAAGCCAGAACAGAATGAAAAATAATGCACGATCTTACTTATAGGTAGCAACTACAGAGGGGAGTTCGTAGAAGCAGATAGTAGAATGATGGTCAATGGGGCAGGGAAGGGGGCATGGGAGATGGTCAAAGGAGGCACCATTTCAGTTATGTGGAATGATTAAGTTCTAGAGATATCATATACAGCATGCTGAATACAGTCAATAATAATTGCTGCATGCTTGAAATTTGCTAAGAGAGTAGATTTTAAGTGCTCTCACCACAATAAAATAAAGGTAACTATGTGAAGAGAATGATATGCTAACTAGCTTGATCATGCTAATCACTTCACTAAGTACATGTATATCAAAACATGTACACCTAAAATACTCCTATATTCCTATTTAAAATTATTGGAAAAAATAAAATAAAATAAAGTTACACTAAAAAAATTTGATTAATTCTTCCTCTTCTTGCATCAAAA